CATGCACTACACTTAAATGTTTGAAGGAACAGCATATGAACACAAGAGGTAATCGAGAAGGAACAATCCTGCCCTATGAACGGACACACACGTGAAGATAAGGGAAATGAAGGGAGTTGCTAGACTCAAAAAAAACTAGCTCACCTTTGAAGATGCTCATGAAAAGGAACCGGGCACTATGTATGGAAGTTAGGGGTGAGTGGCACACGCTGTCCTGAGCGAAAACCTGTGAGCAGTGGGCAGGAAGCGTTGGGTGCACCAAGGGAAAAACACTTGTACTATGTGTGTCCCACTTGGGACTTGTGTTTGCATGTTGGGGATATTGAGTGTCGTGCCTTTCGAAAGGAAATGAGGGGTCTGCACCGGCCACTGCGGGTTGCCAAACGTCGTTCTATTTTGCAGGCTGCTATTTGTTTGTATGCGGGGGTCAGGCCACCGAGCTGTCTAATGGGAGTTTGTCACGTCGGGTGCTTAGTAGCATCCTCGTCCGCGCGGTGACGGGCTTCGGCTCGATTGATCTGTCGGGTGGGGTGTGAAACGTTTCTGTAGGCGGGGGCCTAGCCTGTGGACTGGCAGAGGGACTACCGCTGCATGCAAGCAAAGACGGAGCCTCGGAGAGGATTAGTAGCTTCTCGTAAGTTTGGTTTGGGAAAGGCTGTTCCTTGTCGAACCGATGGAAGTGAATGCCTGGACGGCTGACTCCAATGGCCTTACCGAGATGTGCGGGGTGATTCCCGAGATTAACGGTGGGTACACGAGCGACAAGTCGGGATGGGGTATTCTGGGCAAGAAGGTGAGGGTGACCCCCCACTGGAGTCTGGGTACCGCGCTTGCGACAGTTGAGCTGTGCATGAGGTATGGGATAAAACTCTGCTTATAGTAACAGTGGAGAGACCATTTCTGGGAAAAAGGGTCGGTGAGGAGATGATCACCCTGTGTGCGATGTTTGCTTGAGTTTTTTCTTTTGTGCCTACCTCTATAAAGTTGCCTGATGAACGTTGGATGGGGACTGAGGTTCTGAGTCTATTCTCACCTCCAAGTCTAAGTCCGCACGAGTGAGAGAACATGATGATAAAGGTTGGATAGGAGTCGGAAGGAAATGGAACCAAGAAAAAGGAATGTCGGTTGAGGGTGACTGATCGAGGGTATGATGGGGTAACGACATCTGGGACGTAGGTAGGAAATGCTGAGGAGACCCAGGGGAGGGGTCTGAAAATAATTTTTATCTAGGCGGGAGGCAATCTGACCATGAGGGGCCGTGTGGTGCTCTCATGTGGAAACAGGATAGGCGCCGGAAAAACAAGATGGCACGATGGTTGTCGCCCCATGTCTACTCTAGCAGTCCGGAAATGCCCATAGATGTAAGGGAAGGGGTATCTGTCGTCCTCCCGGAGGAAGGAACGTGGACGGACCTAGAGCCAGCTTATGAAACCGTGATGCTGGACGAGAAGGACACGTTCCTCTGGATAGAGACAATCTAGACTAAGGTCAGCCTGACAAGACTTTCACCCAGCCTGATGGACCTAGAATTCTGGGGAACGGTGGAAGCTCGAGGATGGGTCTACGTATCTCAGGAAATCGAAAATGCAATGGTAGTGAGACTAGTATTGGGCACGACACCAGATCAGTTGTTTAAGCAAGCGGAACAGGAAGTGGTATGGGCGGCATGTCAGCGGGCGGAAATGGAGATGGAGAAGATGGAGGTGCGAGTGGAACTCGGAGACCGGAAAAATATGAGACGCCCCCTTAGGACGATGAGATGCGTGCTACCCCCGTTTCTGGTGGATGCAGTCTTTGGGACCGGGGATAGATTGGAATGGATATGTCGGTCGATGACGCGCCTGAGGCTGTACCAATGTGCTAGACAAGACTTCTTTAGGCTGTCGGTGGAAGCGGGGCCGTTTGAAGGAAATTGGGCGGAAGAATTAGCTGAGGTACTAAACCTCCTCAGCGCGGATGGAGTCTTTGTCTCGAGCCCGGTGCATTGGCAGATAATCTATCGGAATGTGGTGGCAGGGGAAACCTTCTTAGAGGGACTAAAGGAGTTGTTCTCAGAAGGGGAGGAGAATTTCGGTGATAGTGAGGATGAGGACGAAGTAGAGGATTGGGAATTCTAAAAAGGGGGGCGGGGACTTACCCAGGGACGGGTTGTCGACTATGTGCAAGGTAGGGAGCGATGGCCCGGAAATTTCTGCTATGGGACTGCACATGGGAACCAAGGCGAACCAGAGGTGGGGTGGAAATGTCTATAACGATGAGTAATGAATGAAAGGAGACCACGTGTGACTGGCGGGGGTATGAGATCGTGCCAGAGCTATCATACCTATGGACAGAACGTGGTTGGAACCCGTTGAGGGAAGAGGAAGGATGGGAAGATATCGGAGAAGGGAGAGTAGAGTCCGTTGGGACAGTCGTCTTGTTAGAGCAGGGGTGGCATCTGTTCTGCACCACACTTGCTACGGGACATAATCCGATGTGGCTTTTGGAGGGTGCCGAGGCAAGGACTCGAAAGGCAGGAGAAAGGTTCGCCAACAAAGGCAGGGATGAGGTCAGTAGTAGAGTCGTGATGAGAGGATGGAAGGAATTTAAACCGCCCTGCGCCCGGACCAAGACCTGGGTGCCGGAATTCGTGGCAGGCTGGTTTGGGGGCTTTGATCACGTTGCTGAAGTAGCCGGCACTATGGAGCGGATACACATAAACTGTGCATGGTTGGTAGAAGAGTTCTATAAAACGTCCCTGAAACTCGGACCTTTCCATGGCGACAGAGCCCGGGAGGTCCTTACCATTTTGGACATCGAGAGGAACGATCGGCTGGAAGTAGCCCTGGAAATTAGATACACCATAATCCGTCGGGAAGTAGCAGCGACACCGTGCTATGTGGATGATGTGTTCAAACTATTTGAGGTGCTGTGGTTCGACTAAAAGGAGCAATAAAGTCGTGGGGCCAGGCAGGCATGAGGAAATTGCTAAGATAAGGGATTGGGATGTCTGACCATTGTAGGACTCAGTGTGGATTGCCAGAGAGAAGACCAAGGACAAGAGCGCAGATGGCGCGAAGAAGGATGTTCCTTGAGGACCGCCCGCTAGGCATTGAGCCGCCTAGGGATGTGGATGGTAGGATAGAAATCAGCCTGCCCACCGCAAATGAGGGATGGCACCCGGTGGTGGATTGGGTCGGGGTTGAACTTGTGGAAAACATGGTTTACCTAGTGACGAGGGTTGAATGGCGTGCGGGAGAGAATGGGGAATGGAACCCGGACTCACGGGGACATGTGCGGGCGGAAGGTTGGCTGTATGTATCAAAGGATGGGTGGCGGGAGTTCGGAGTCCGGTTGGCATCAGGAGAAGACCCGCTGAGTATGTTTGAGGGGGCGTGGCAGTTAGTGTGGCGAGTGGGATACGAGTTCGCGGATCCAGGAGGTGACGATGTAACGGCGGACCTTAGGGTAACCATGGTCGGGAGTTTCAAATTGCCTAGCGAAAACATTCGGATGAGGCTGCCGCCTTTTCTGCTGGAAAGGCTAGGCGGTCTGGAACTTGTTAGCCCACCTCACAAATTTGACGTATGAAGATGCGATGATACATCGAGAATATTACCGGGCCTTCCTAGAAATGGGGCCGTTTAGAGGTGAACAGAGGTATGAGGTGCTGCCCATTCTGCGCGCTGTGTTTAGTACTAGGCCAAGGGCTCCGGTCGTTAGTAGTGAAGTCCTGTGGGGTGTCGTCCGACGGGAAATAAGTCGGGGGATGACATACGTGGATGACCTGTACCGGTTATATGAGTTGACGGAAGCAGAGACAGGCCGGTAAAAAAGCCAAGGAAAGTGGGAAAGGTGATAGAAGAGGAAAGGAAACATCAAGCCAAGAACCGAGGAATTGCCCAAGTAAGTGTCGGGGAATGGATGGAATAAGCAAACTCGCTTGCTGTTTAAACTGTGCAGGGGACCGCTAGTCAACAATGGCGATGAGACGCGCCCGGATGTCGCGACGACCCACGCACCCCCGACCGCCCACGGAAAGCGGAGACGGATAGGAGGTATCGCTCCCGGCAAGCTACAGGGTCCGAGGGATCGATACCGAATGGAGAGCCGTGACCTTGGGGAGGGACCAGGCGTTCATGATGGTGGAATGTTTGTGGGATGGTATGAGAATTAACAGGGGACCAGGGGACGATCTGTATACTGACCTCAGGGTGACTGGAACCGTATACCTACCAGAACTTGGATGCCACATGTTAGGAACGGAACTGGCACTAGGGCATGGGTTGTTACCGACCTTCCAAAGGGCTACTAGGGTACTAAACCGAGTAGGCCAGGAAGTGCGAGGGAGGAGGAATGTGGGATTGAGGACCCGGGTGGAAGTAGGAGGTTGACGAGAGTTTAAGGCCCCAATGATAGGGTTGAGGTGCCGAGTCCCTCGCTTCATGGTGGACCTGGTATTTGGCAGCCTCAAGAGGGCCAGGGACCTGGTGGATTCGACCCTGGTCTGGGTCCACCACTTCCAGCCACAGACAACAGGGATGTTTTACGATGTGTCGGCCAGGCATGGGCCGTTCTGGGGAAATCAGGTCTGGGAATTACTTGACCTCATTGAAATTTTGATTTTCGGATTGCCTCGCTTGGCGTTTGAGAAATACGAACCAATAATCGTTAGGGAAATAGAGATGGGAGAAAACTACCTTGTCGGGGTGGCTGACCTGTTCGAGGAACCGGACGAACAGGGCAGGCCTGAGGGACTAGCGTGAGAAGAGGCGCCAGGGGGAAGACGGGAAAAATTAAAGGATGGGTATTAAGATGAGAAAGTAGCCATCGGCAAGGGGGGGGGGCACTGGTTGGAGTTCCGCCCTACCTGACGATGCGGCAAGAAGGAACTAGGAAGACCACCCGCACCAGGAACATCGGGGCATTTGAATGTCAGAAAGCCGAAAGAACTATCCTCAAAAGGAAGGTCACTGGGCTCAGACACCGCCCTAAGAGCCGAGGCAGGGCGACGACAAAATGCCAGACCTCGGCGGCAAGTCCCCCGGCGGAAGAAAATCTAAATGGTGTCCTGTGAAAGAAAAGTCGGGAGTGTCATGAAAACAACCGGGTTTTAGGGCTGGAACTAGGGAAGCCATGAACAACCGGCCATTTTTCGCAAAAAAAAATTCCCATGTGCAAGCTAGGTAAAGAAATGGCGTCACAAGAACAGGATGACAACCAGCAGAACAGAGGGAGTCAGGGTACGAATAGGGACGAGGAACAGAACGAGGGGTCGGATCAGGAATCAGCAAAGCCAGAAGAGACCAGAGAAGAAGGGAAGGGCCTCTCTACAGGGGAGAGTTCAGGAAAAGTTGGGGGTAGCAAAAAGGGACCGCAGGATAATAGGGAAGGGAAGGACGACGAAAAGGGGAGTCCTTGGAACTTCGGAGGAACCACGCCCAAGAAAACGAAAGTCTCGGATGCATGCCGCAAATTGGCAGAAATAGAAAGGCGGACCGCAGAATACAAGGCAAGACTTATTGAACAAATGATGGCTGGGAATGAAGAGGATCCCCAGGGGGAAGGGTCGCGAGAGGGACGCAGGACCAGTCAGGGCGAAGCCAGGTACGGAGCAAAAGATAACAGCCATAAGGGAACACCCAGCAAAAAGGGGAAGGAAAAGGGGGAGTCGCTGGCTATAGAGGCAGAAAAGGCCACGACCCCGCCGGCTATCGATAGCGGCGTTTGTCGTCTGCCCGCCACATCCAAAGCAACGAAAGGATGCGATGGACTCTGGAGTCTCAGAGAGAGGGTGTTAAGCTGGTTTGATCCGGAGGGAACATCGAAAACTGGGGAAAAGCACAAGGAAGGCAGGGAAGGAGAGGGGAATAGTGCGGTCGGTGAGGCGGGTAGCTCTGAAGGGGGACTTAAGAGCATAGTAGCCACCCTCACCCAGGCGCTGAATAAGAATCAGGGATATCTCATAGATGCAAAGAAGAAACTCACTTTTGATAGAGCAAACATCATGGAATTCCTGATAGATTATGAGAACCTGACAGCCTTACTAAAATGGACTGAGGAAGAAAAGATGGACCATCTAGGGCAGCACGTATCGTTGAGCTTAGGAAGGGACATTATGGCTATCGTCTCCTCCAGTGGATCCTGGAAGGAAACCCGGAATAAGATGATGAGAAAGTACCTGAAGGCGGAGAAAATGGCGACAGAGGCTGAATTGGCGGCAGTCCAAAGGAAAAACTATGCTACTTACAATGACTTTCTGAGGGCATTCACTCTAGTGGCACTTCGAATCCCCAGGGTAACGGATCGAATAATGAGCAAGTACTTCCTTAGGCAGTTCTCCGAGTTTGACAAAGATAAGATTCTGTCATCTTACCAGCAGACTAGCAAGTTCGAGTACACTAGGGATGTGGACTTCAGCACGGTAACAGACCTCGCAGAAAAGACAGTGGTGACCGATACGCTAGCCCTGCTTAAGGAAGGGAAGGTTATAAATTTGACTGGGAAGACAGGGGATAAGGTTAAGAAGGGGATACAGAGCTTGCACGAACGAGTGCATGGGGTTGACAGCAAGATGGATAGAACGGAAAATGGGCTACCGGTAATGCAGGTGCATGTGTCCCGACCCGCCCTCCCGCCCCAAGAGGCCGTAGTCCCGATAGTTGTGGCAAACTGGGGGTATGGCAAAAGGGATCCGGCCAATGAGCAATGCAGGTATTGCACAATGGTCGGACATTTCGTGCGAACTTGCCCAAAACTCAGCCATGATATCATGAGACAGAGATGCAACAGGTCCCTTATGGGTGAGATTCTCGGACCCCAGGGAGAGCGCGTAAATTGGAATTCGCCAGGAGGAATGCGGCGTGTCGTCATCGTCCTCAATAACTTGGATATAGCCACCGTAGAAGCAGAGCCGGTAGCCGATATTGTCTGGGACCAACCGAGGGGACGTGGGCCACAGGCCAATTTCATCCTAGAGGGCAATGGGCAGGACAGGGTAAACATCACCACCCGAGGTTGCTGGGACTGGCGCAGACCAGGAAGAGACTGAGACCGGGGAACAGGAGAAGGTCTACGCGAAGGCAAGGGAAGAGGAGCCGATAGACAAAGTTGCGGCCGCAAAGAAGAAGTTCAGGTATCAAATTCCGATCCTGACTTCGCCCGAAATCGATGGCACCCTGAGTAAGTTGCTGGGTACCATGGTATCGGTATCCTTCCAGACCATGCTGCAGGCCAGCCCAAGGCTGCTTAAAGGACTCAGGTAGTTGCTAACGCGCAAGCGCGTAGAGGTAGAGGAGGCCCCGGAACCACAGGAGCAGGAAACAGAAGAGTCCGAGACGCCGCAAGGGGTCTCCAACCTCCAACGATTTCCGGAGATCTGGAGGACCTGGAAAAGGCCTTTGCAGACATCCGCCTAAGCCTACCGGACCGAGAAGGGGGTGAAGTCATGAGGGCGCCGCCCGGGACGAAGCTTAGCTTCCATGCCTTGCCCGTAGGAAAGCTGAAGGTCCAAATCAGAACCCACCACACAGATGCATTAATGGACGACGGTGCAGAAATTACCCTCATACGACGGGATCTTGCAACGATTACAGGTTGCACCGTAAACAAGGAAGTGATGGGGAGTATCCGGGGAGCTGGCGGGGAGATTCCCTTTGCAGGGTACGTTACGAAATGCGCAGTCAGGGCGGGGATCAGGGAATCAATCTGGTCCTTCCAGCGGATGACCGTGATGGACGAAATGGACCATGACATAATTCTCGGAAGACCGTGGTGTGCCAATGTAGAAATGATAGGTATGCATCTGCACAATGGCACATACATGGTAGACATAGAGGACCCAGTGACCCGCCGCGGAGAACTCCTCCGACTACTTGGGACCGGAGGCGATCCGCCGAAAGGCAAATTGGCAACTTGGTCACCGACATTCGAGGAGAGTGCGCAAAAAGGGGCATTCGCACGAATGGAAGGAATGAGGGAAAGGGTGGAAATCATGATTGAGGAAGCCTTTAGCAAGAAGGAGTGGATCAAGATGGGTCTACCTATGAAGAAGAGGAGGCAAGAGGACGAGGCCCTGTAAGTTATGGTGGCAGAAAAAAAGTCGGAAGTCGAACTTGGGGCCAACCTGCCGAAACTAAAGGAGGGCCGGAACGAAATGCCAGAGGTGGTGCTTGAAATCCCAGACTTGTTACAACTCGTTAAAGCCATTACGTACCACAAGGTGGGGGTGGACCCCGCAGCGCTCGCTAAATTTGAAGACGGGGTCCGAAAGGGCTACTGTTTGAACGGGAAGCTGGTCAGCATCCAGCCCCGCGTCCTGGAGGTAGCAAGGCCGATTCCGACCGTTCATTTTTTAAGAGAACGATCCCCGAAGGCAGTGTGCGAAAGTACAAACCCGTAGGAAAGAAGGCTAAGCCGGTCTCGATCCTAGTGGAGACATCAAAGGAAGAGGCATTGGAAAAGGAGGAGGAGGTCCTGCGGGTAATAAGGGAGAGGCGAGCGACGGAAGGGCATCGGATACCGGATGAGGTAGCAGAAACCATGAAAATAGGGGTAGATGGGTTCCTAACAGAGAATGAAACTCGGTTGATAAGGAGGACCTGCTAAGAGTTTCATTTAGCCTTTGCTTTCAATGATCACCAAAAAGGACGGTTAGATGCGAAATTAATCCCCCCTGTTAGGATCCACACGGTAGAGCATGAGTGTTGGAATGATAAAGGGCCTGCCTATGAGTTTGGGATAGCGGCAGAGGTCACCGACCTGCTTAGAGCCAAGATAGATTAATTTGTGGCTGAACCCACCGCATCCCCCTACGCGAACAAATGGTTCGTTTTCCGGAAGCCCAACAAGACGCTCAGGTGGATCCAGGACTTGCAAAAGCTTAATGCAATAACAATTAGGAACGCGGGCTCGCTCCCACAGGCGGACTCGCTGGCTGAATCGCATGCTGGACGAAGTATTTACTCCCTGATAGACCTGTACTCAGGATATGACCAGTTGTCGCTCGACGCGAGGGATAGGCCGTATACCGCCATGCACACACCATTAGGGCAGTTGCAGATGCAAGTGACTCCTATGGGTTTCATGAATGCGGTGGCGGAGGAGCAAAGGAGAATGCTGGCTGTAGCAGGAGATATGTTCCCAGAGAAATGCGAGCCATATATAGACGATAACCCCATAAAGGGCGCGCAAAACAAGGATGGGACAGAGAGAGGTTGAGCCGGGCGTGCGAAAGTTTGTCTAGGATCACCTGCAGGATATCAAGAACCTCTTACAGCGGTTCCTGGTTTATAATATTACCGCAAGTGGACCAAAGAGCATCCTGGTTGTTCCGGAGGTAACCATATTGGGGTTTCGCTGTGGGGCTTACGGGAGAAGACCCGACCCGGCAAAAACAGATAAGATCTCTCAATGGCCGACGCCCCTGCGCACCACGACGGAAGTACGAGCCTTCCTAGGGGTGGTCGGGTTCTGGAGGATCTTCATCAAAGGATTCGCGAAGATAGCAGAGCCTATGTGCGCAATGATTAGAGAAGGTGGCACTATGGAATGGACCGAGGATAGAGAAGCGGCAGCCCAGACCCTTAAAGACATCCTGTCTTCCGATCAGGTCACCCTAGCAGCACCCTGTTTCAACGATGAGAAAGGACGACCCTTCATCTTAGAAACAGATGGGGGACCACTGGCAGTTGGAGGAGTACTGATATAGAAAAGCGAGGAAGGCAAGGAAAGACCAATCAGATTTGAAAGCAGAACCTTGAATTCGGCAGAACGGCGGTACTCACAGTTCAAGAAAGAGGTCTTAGCGATTCTGCATTGCCTTAAGACCTTTCAGGCATACCTGTTCGGAAGGTGGTTTATCCTGAGAAACGATCCAACCAACGTTGCCGGGGCACTAAAAAACTATAAGCCTATAGATCCGACAGGCGGCAGATGGATAGGCTTCATATGGCAATTCGACTACAAGGTCGAACAAATTGTGGGGCTTCGAAACAGGGCAGACGGGTTGAGTAGGGTGTGTATCACGCCGGGAGGGATAGAAGACGCGGAGGCAATTGACGCCTTCCTGGAATACGAAGGAGGGACCCTTGTCGTGGACAATGAGATGGCGGACACCGTGTCGACAACGGGTCAACTGTTGATCCAGACTTTGGAAAAGGGCGCACCTGCGGTAGTTGCGGAACTCAGGAAAGGACCAGTCACCACGATTAGATGCAAGGATGAGAAGGATTCGTGGGGAGCAGCGATGGGGCCAAAGGAACAGCTGATGGCAATGGCTGTCGAAGGTGGTCAGGAGGCTGTGATAAATTTGGTAGAAACTTGGACGCAAAGAGAGCGGCAATATCTAGTGAACCAGGCTCAGGAGGAGCAAAACACCGACCAGAGGGAACGAGAATTCTTTCTTATCCAGATGTATGAGGGCATCTTTCGAGAAATTGATATGTTGCTTATAGGAAATAAGCAGCCTATGGAAGTCAGTCCCAAGGCAAGGGAGGAAGCCGAGAAGTATGTTTTGAGGCACGATCACCTGTTCAAAAAAAAAGAAGGAATGATGCCTAGGCGTGTCGTATGCGGAAGGTCTAGGCAGGTGGACATAATCCAGGCAATGCATGATGGGCTAGTCGGAGGACACCGGTCGTCCAAAGGGACACTGGCAAAAATCGCACCACTCTACTTCTGGCCAAATATGGCAGGTATGGTGGCAACGTACTGCCAGAAATGCCTGATATGCCAGGAAAGGAGTACCGCACGTGTCTTCGAGCCCCTTAGACCTACCTAGGTACTAGGGCCGGGGCACTTAGTCCACCTCGACCTTGCGGTCATGCCGGTGTCAACGGATGGATACAGGTACATCCTGGATGCAAGGATAACCTCAGTGGCTACGTAGAGGCGGTAGCACTCAAGAGAAAGACAGGGAAGGGAGTGGCCGATTGGATAGAAGACTTCTACCTTAGGCACCCCTTTGTGCGTAGGTTCATAGCGAACAATGGAACGGAGTTCGTCAAACAGGAGGTGTTGGGCAGGCTTAAGGCACTATGCGTACCTATCAAGATCATCGAGCCATACCACCCTGAGGCCAATGCACCAGTAGAAAGGGGACACCGGACATTGAAGAACACAATTGCCAAGTTGGCAGTGGACGACCTGGGGAACTGGTCTCGATACCTTAAGCAGGCGGTCTTCTCGGAGAACATGACGCCGAAAAGGACGACGGGATGCGTCCCGGCAGAACTCTAGTATGGGAGGGAGATAAATTTCCCGGTGGAAGCCCTGGTTCCTTCCTGGAACAGGCTACATGACAATCCGCACATGTCTACGGACGAACTAGTTGCCGCGCGTTGCCAATAGGTCGTGAGAAATGAGGAAGCCTTGGAGGAGGTGGTCAGGCGGGTAATGGATAGTCGAATGAGGGACAAAGCCAGGTGGGATCAGGTAAAGAATATCCGGAAGGAGCCGCTTCAAGTGGGAGAAAAGGTACTAGTCAGGAACTTGGCACTTGAAAGCACATGGTCTGGGCAGTTGGGAAAAAGGTTCAAAGGCCCGTACAGGATCGCAAAGCGGGTGGGACTGAACACTTTCGAACTTGAGGACCTTGATGGTCCTAATATAAGAGGGTCATTTCCGGGATAGAGGCTGGTCAGGTTTTTTAGCAGGGATCCTGTGGAGCAATGGTTACAAGAAGCCCAGGACAGGGAAACAGGGGAATCGACAACTTGAAAAGCAGGCAGCTGGTTATAGTTCTGGATCGTCTGCCTGTGGAAGTGATCATGATCACAGGGACTGTTCGTTTGTGTGTCTTAATCCTTGTGGAACGTGGGGAGACTGCCTGGGCTGACTGTGACTGGGCTTGGAAGCACGGGACAGTGTATTATAGTGTTTGTGGGGTAACTCTGGGGACTGTCTACACGAGGTATCTATGTGTCGGGACAATGTATCATAGTTTTTGTGGGGTGATGTTGTGGACTGCCTACATGGGGCACCTATGTGCTGGGACAATGTGTCAAGGGTTCTAAGGGATAATGGGACTACCAACTATATGGGGGCAAGCAAGAGTTCTAGGGAAGCCTCCAAAGCTGCAAATGGGAGTGAGTGGGGGGAATGTGTGCGTATGAGGAGGTGCGGTGACAGTTATGTATGGACAGGACAAGGAAAGAAGAAGAAAAGCAAGAAAAGACAAAATGGAGTTTGGAAATGAGAATGACAGCAACGCAATCAACAGGCCGAACGAGCAGCAGCCAACAAGACAGGCCGGGGAATCAAGTTCCAGGAAGAGGAAGCTGTATGTGGGATTCGATCACAATCTGGTTGTAAACAGAGGTGGGAGAAAGCAAGGGACCAGGGGACCGTCGCCCCTGAGGGAGGGGGAACCAATAGTCCTTCCATCAAACAATGACACCAGTAGTGAGGAAGAGGGGAACCTAGGGAAAAGGCCGAGGTTGGAGGAGGAGGAGTCCATCAAGGTCATAGACCTCAGTAGCGAGGAGGAGGAGGACAAAGTGACAACACCCACAAGGGAAGTACGGGGGAGAGAGGAGGACTCCGGGGAAGAAAATGACAAATGAATAAGAGAATTTGGGCCGTCTTTCACCGACTATTTCGACCGATGGGCTAGCATCCTGCGATATGAATGGGCAATGAAAGACACACAAAAGTTGAGCAGGGGGGAGGACATATTCCCAACGACTTTCTTTACGGAGGAGAAGCTTCTTGGCCTACAGAGGTCAAAGAGACTAATGCAACAAGAGATTGAGGCTCGTGCGAGGGAGGCTCGGCGCACGACAGCTGGGCAGTAAAGGGATAATAGGCAAAATGAGGATTAGCTAGGAATTGGGGGAGGATTGGTACCTCGGAAGGTGGAACTGCCATTTTGAATTTTGCATCTGAACTCTTTTTTGAGTTGACCACGATAGGACAACTTTCTGAACCTCAGATGACCAAGGACTGGGTAATGAGTACTACTTTGCACAAGTTTTGGTTTCTTCAGAAAAAGGCACGAGGGTCATTGCACTTAGAGAATAGGACTGTGAATGGTTGGGGTTGTCAAGGGGTGAATAGAGGGATCTAGATGAGGCGAGTCTGTAATGTTGCCTTTGCATTCGGATTTTGTCTCTTTGTTTTTGGAAGGACTGCGACGTAACTGTTCTTTGGACTGCGGATGCTACTAGGGACGGGTGACCAGTGCTACTTTGTATAAGCACTCGCTTCTTTCGGGAAGTCTGAGCTTTTTTTGATAGTAACAAAGGGACTAGGGATAATTGACTGTGAACGAGGGCAAGGGCATGTGAACTATTGAGGGTGAAACAAAAATTGAGGACTGGAATTTCCTTTTTTTTTTTTTTTTTCAAATTGTGTATCCATGATTGAATGAGTCGTTGCATGAGTCCTTGTGAGAGGTTAGGGGACTTATGGGCAAAGAGGCATCCTCTTTCCTAGGAGCCTAATCCAACCTATCCCAGACAATTCCAGAGCATTGAGAGGATATCAGAGGTCAGAAAAGTAGGAGCGAAACATTGAAATGAGTTAGCATCCCTTGTAATGGTTGAACGGTCGGGCGGGCTAGTGCTGCTTGGGGCCGTGAGCCTCAAATTGAGCATTAGACGCTAAGTCGGGTGTATGTGTGGACATGAGAAAGATGATTGGCATAAAGCAAAGAGGAAGAAGCATGCGTAAAAACCCAAGAGGATGGCCGCCTTCTAACCCCCGAGACGAGATAGGATCCGTGTCCTCGAGGCCCACCCCCTCGGACGCTAACATTGCAATGGACAAGGATGACCCTAACCAGGCTGTCCAATTGGAATGGACAAGGATGACCCTAACCAGGCTGCCCAGTTGAAATGGATAAGGATGGTCCTAACCAGGTTGTCCGATTGCAATGGATAAGAATGGCCTTAACCAGGCTGTTCGACTTAGAATTCGAAAGAACGACCCTAACCAGGTTGTTCGGAACGGCCCCTGACAAGGGTCATTCTTTGGAATTGGCACTGAGCTGAGCTTTGGAAAGTATATTGGAAGAGTTGGGCTTTGGAAAAGACATTGGGAAGAGCTGAGCTTTGGAAAAGACATTGGGAAGAGCTGAGCCTCGGAAAAGATATTGGACTCAGCCTCGGAAAAGATATTGGACTCAGCCTTGGAAAAGATATTGGATTCAGCCCTAGAAAAGATATTGGACTCAGCCTTGGAAGAGATATTGCATTGAGCAATGGACTGAGATTGAGCATTGGAATTGGTTTGAGTTTTGAAAATCGCACCGCATAAACAGGGGACCCTAGGCAACTTGAAATGGACTTGGAAAGAGCATTGAAATGAAATTTCTCCTTTCTTCTAGTCTTTGGCCTCAGCAAGAGGGGGATACCGGTGCACGCACCGCGACCTCAAGACCTCTATCCCTTTGAGGGAAAAAGTCTCAGCGCGACCTGCTCCTCCTTTAAAAGGATGAGGGTTAAAGGACTAAGGCACCTACCGCTTGGATCGGTGCGGGACGTCCGGAACCACCTCCGACAATGAGCTCTAGTCGGGGAGTTCAAACTGTGCCGCATGTTGAACGCATAAACGTCAAAGGGCGAGAGAGCCAAATGTGCGAGAGAGTCATTCTCATCTAGTCTATTTTGCCATTCTCCAACCACACGCCATGTCATAGAGGGGTGCCATGGCCGTTTGGGTCGGACCACGACTACCCGCGCTAAGTTGGGTGGCACTGTCCAAGGGGAGAGGCCGGGCGAAGGTACTGGGTGGAATCCGTCACCACCACGGGGCATTGACACTGCCCTGCCGGAACATTACAACCGTTTCGGGACTAATTGCGAGGTCTTCGTAACTGCACTCGCGGACTAATTGAGAGCCTCAACTCTCTTGAAAGGAAGAGGCCGGATCCAGAAAATTACCAATCGGGAGGAACGATTCGCGAGGAACGCTTTAACGGCTAGACGAGGCGCTGGAAGGCTTAGATTGGACCTGCCTGCCGGACTTGAGGAGGAACCTCAGTACTGGTGCTCGCCACGTGAGAGAACAAAGGTCGGACCGAGTAGGAGGATGAGGCGTCGTTTGCTGGGAAGGAACTGATCACTCTTCCTTTTGTGAAGCGGACGGGCTTGTGTCCTTGACTGCGGTTGGTGGGCCAAAGGTCTCGTACCTCCGAGTGAGAACCAGTCGCGCGATGGGGACATCGCGTTTTGAGTGGGGGGAAGGTGTGCCATCTACCGATGAAAACGCATGCAAAAGACTTGTAATTGGTTTTACATGGGCCTGAGAAAAGGGGTCTGGCAAGACACCCAGAAAAGAAAAAGACTTGTAATTGATTTTGCATAAGCCTGAGAAAAGGGGTGTCTGGCAGGATGCCCAGGACAGAAAAGACTTGAGCAAGTGACATGGTATGAACTTGAGAAAAAGGGTATGGCAAGACAGCCAGGAAGGAAAGGGCTGGCATGATTGACTCTGCATGAACTTGAGAAAAGGACTGGTAGGCTGGGGAATGGCTGTGTGATTGGCTTGTATGGGCTTGAGAAGGTCTGACGAGGTGTCTAGAAAAGAAATGCACAAGGAATGAGGCGAGCACTGTACATGAAAGGACAATTAAGTAAGGCAAGAAAGGACAGAGGATGATATGTATGTAGAATTGACAGGACGTGAGAAAAGCCAGGAGGAATGACCCGAGAAGAATGCATGTGGATTTGGCTATGACCGAGCTTTGGGGAGGGGAAAAATTGTACTGAGAATATGTGGATGTCCTAAGAATAATGAATGAGACGAACCAAAATGATTTCTGCTCAAGAATGTTTTCTCAATGAAATAGGAAGCTAGATTTGAGATTCTTTTGGTCTCACGTGGTTCTCGGCATTTTGTCCCACCGGTACCACTTCTTCTTTTGGTCTCACATGGTTCCCGGCACTTTGTCCCACCGGTACCACATCTTCTTTCGGTCTTACGCGGGTCCCTATTTAGCTTGTGGCCCTCTCGGTCCTTTTGCCGCTACTCCCTAGTGGCCTGCCTAGCACGACAATGTTTCCCTTGCGCCGACGCCTTACGTCTTATTCCTTCCTTGCACCAGCACATCCTACGTCATTGTTTTTTTCCAGGGGTCCTTCTCTGTTTCGGGGGAAGGTTCGCCTTTGCCGCTTTCTAGCGGTCCTCTGCCGCTCCCCGTTCCGTCAATTTTCTTCTTAGTCCATTGGTCTTGACGACATTGGGCGGCTTCTACGTTCCTAGCGCCTATGCCTAAGCCTTGATCCTTCCATCCTTCTTGCCTCCGGTTTTCTCTGTCGTGCACAAATT